GGGAGGAGCAAAGGTTAATACCAAACAGCCCCGAGTTTATTTCTCAGCCAGCTTGTATACTAATTACAGGTGAAAGTCAGAACTAGGGCAGTCCAGTCAGCTGACCACCTCCCCGCACTGTCCTAGGGAGGAAGCTCACGCAGGTGCACTCTCGTGCAGCTAAGCAGCTTCTAGTCTCTAATGAGGAGTGCCCCTGGCTGGCATACCCCAGCCCAAATCTTAACAGAAAAATGTGCTCTTTCATCTGGGCAAAAATACTCTTTCTATGGGTTAACACAGATGTTACTCACAGTCCTCAAGGTTACTGGAAAAAGCAGAGCAGGGACGCTTGAACTCAAATGACTTCTTTAAGTCAGTCACGACTCCAGATGGAAACTGAGCCACATGTGGGCTACCACAGTTTTGTTTTGTTTTTCCAGGCAGAGGTTCTCCACACAGCCTTGGCTGTCCTGGAATCAGCTCTGTAGACCAGGCTGGCCTCAAGTCAGAGAATTCTTCCTGACTCTGCCCGCCCCCAGCCCCGAGAGCTGGGATTAAAGTTGTGTGCATCTACTGACTCGCTAAGGCAGCAGCTTCTTTCCCCCCCTCCCCCATGCACCACCATGAGACCAGGAAGAGTACTCCTGCCCCTTTTAGTGGTGTCTGTTCACATCTCTGGCCAACAAAGAGACATCCTCAGAGACACTTGGCGGCATGAATGTATTATTTTCACTATTATTCAGAGTTCTGTAGCAGCTACACACACGCACAGAGGAAAGAAATGTTCCCTTTGTTCTTTCCCTTAATACTCAGGTCTGCTGCTGCTCAGACCTCCTTACACTGGAGTGGCTTTTATAGTATGGAGTGTCACAGATTGAGAGAGTTCAGAATGTGACCATTACAGGGATCTTAGGATGTACATGGACCTCTTAAGTCGCATCCCCTATTCACTCCACCTCCATAATTTGCTTTTGCTTTGGTTTTTCAGACCAATAATCTATGGACCAGCTTCCTCCTTGATGCTTTTCTGTTTTTCCTAGCATGACACAGCCATGTCTTTTCCTATTAAAGATTCCTGTTGTTTGCATGGTGTAGGGGCTCTAAGGCACTCTTGTCCAGTCTGTGGTCCCAGTTGTAACTGGAAGCTGATTTCCCTACATTAAGCACCTTGACCAAAGGCACTGATTAGCTGTGGGGCTAAGAAGTCTTTAGCGTCTCCTTTTTCAGGAGGAAGGAACTGGCTTCTTCAGGTGTCCCAGGCTTCCTGCTGCCTCTTCTTGAACAAGATTTTCCCAGCTTAGCTGGTGTGCTGGTTTAATGAGAATGGCCCCTAGAGACTCATGTGTTTGATTGTTTGCTTCCCAGTTGGAAGACTTTAGAAAAGATTAGGAGGCGTGGCCTTGTTGGGGGAGGTGTGTCCCTGGAGTTGGGGTTTGACGTCTCAGAAGCCCACACTAGGTCCAGGCTAACTGTCTGCCTCCTGCTGGTGGATCAGGGTATAAACTCTCAGCCACTGCTCCAGAGCTGTGCCTGCTGCCTGCTGCCTGCTGCCTGCTGCCTGCTGCCCGCCAGGAAGGTGGCCCTGGACTCATCCTCTGAAACTGGAAGGAAGCCCCCAATGCAATGCTTTCTATTACAAGGTGTCGTGGCCATGGTGTCCTCCACTGCAACAGAGCAGTGACTGAGACAGCTGGGGGAGGGTGGAGCCCGTGGGCTTTGTTACTCTCTGCACCTTCATCCAGACCCTGTGTTGGTAATTGCCAAGGCCACAGCAGGTGTGCGGAATGAAGACACTCAGGTACATTTCATGGAAGAAGCAGGGAGTGAGCCCAGGAGCAAGTGGAAGGGGGAGGATGAGGCTCAAACTCCATTAAAGCTCCTGCAATGAGACATTCTTTCACACCATTCTATAACATCAGGCTAAGGAACCATAAGGACAAGTGGTCACAAAGATATGGGGTCACTGACACACTCATACGTGTCTAGAGGAAAAGCAAAATGATAGTCATAGATGTCGGTTTGACACTTTCTTTTAAAATTAAACACACATGTGTTATAGGATTCAGCAATTCTTGTCTCAGATCTTTAGCCTGATGGAAAGAAAACATTGATTTAAAAAAACCCTATGTTTGAGATGTTCGTAAGAGCTTGATTAAAAGAAGTCAAAATCTGGTCACTCAGGTGTGCACCAGCTGAAGTGTGGGCGGGTAAATGTGTCCAGGGAAGTCTTTCTTGTTCTGGATTTGTCATCCCCCCCAAGCGCCCACCTCCATGGTACCTCACCTCATAGAGCGTCATGTTTTGACACTGTAGAATTTGGCAGATCTAAGCTTCAAATCAGTCTTGTGTTTCTGAGATGACTTCGCCTATCTGATCTACACGGATGAACATCTTTTGTGTCAACTAATGTCAATGAGGCCAGAGCAGAAGCACATACAGGCATCAGAGGCTTTTGGCATTCATCTTCCCAGAGTCAAAAGCTCACCTCTTGTCGTCTGGACTTGCTGCCTACATGGGATGCCTTGCTGCTAGGCTTCTCTGTGCATGACGCACACCGGGTCCACCACTGACAGCTGGCACTGTTACAGAGGCAGACAAAACTTGATGAAGTAGCCCTGCTTCAACCCTGGCAAGCCATGATGTTTCATCCCCCCAAGAGCAGCTTTCCGTGAATGGCATTCAGTGGGATTTCCACCTTATGAGGTTGGAAAAGCCCAGGGCAAGAAGGGGTCAGATTGTGACCAATATGTGAAAACCAAACACATGTGCACACATTTATCCTCTTTTTACATTTTTTACTTTTATGAAGCAGAGCTGGTTTTCTTTTTTATTTCTTCGAGATCCAATGAGTTAATCAGGGTGTGTGTCTGAGTGAGAGATTTCTCACAGGAGTCCCCACAACAGGCACAGCAGACCTTCCTCCTCAGTGTTTTTCCTAATGTTTCCACTGACATGGTACAACCATCGGCTGTGTCTGATTACCTCAGTCAGCAAGGCATGATGTCAATTCAGTGTCTCCCTTCAAATTGTCTGTGCTCCCAGTCCTGTCCTGGGCAGATGCTCTCTCTTCCCTTATCTTGCCAACTGAAGGAACCACTGGCCTATGGCAGATGGACTGTATTAGTTCTTATAAGGTCAAAGACATGCACTAGACTTTTTGTGCTACCTGAAAAGCCTGATGTGTCTTACTCATTGGCAGCAGGAGTCCAATAATGAGCTTGGGTCCCAGTGGGAGAATCTGGAACCAGTCCTCCGGGAGGGTATCTTTCTCTGCCCATGGTGTCCAGAATGGACAATCAATAATCTTCACTGTGACTTCAAAGGTCATGCTGTCCTGGGGTTGGTCTTCTTTGCACTAAAGGATTCTAAAAGGGGGAGTTTGTCAATTGGGAAAACTTGGCTAGCTGGGCAAGCTGAGCAGAGGTAGGGGTAGCTGGTATCAGCGTGTTTAGCACAAAGGATCTGGCCTCTTAGTGAGAAAGAGAAAATGTTTGTAGAAAATTCAACAGCTTAAGTGCAGTTTGACCCCTTTGTTTAATGACATAAAGTAAATGAGAAGTCATTAATTAGAATGGCCAAAAATGTTTAGAAACAGCAAAGAGGTGAGAATGAAAATCATGCATCATGGACAATCAAGGACAGAGAATTATCACAGCGACTGGAGGGTTGCAGGGTAACTGTGGAAGTCAAGAGAACACCCCAAGACATGTACAAGTGCTCAGTGAGACAGGGGACAGCAATCTATTTCATACATGTATGGACTTTCTGATCTCTCTACCCTGCTAACAGGACTCACCCCAGAGTCAAACATCTTCACAGATGTGATGTGACGATGCAAATGTTACCATTACCATGGCTACAGAACCCTTGGAAGTCAAAACAAATCTCAGGAGACACAAACTAACAAACCTGGTTTTTCTGCACACATGCACACACACATACAATGCACACATATACAAAGAAAAGAACATATATACACACATACAGACACATACATGCATACAATTGTGTGCATGTTCACATACTCACATGTGTAAACACAAAAGCACACACATATGCACAAATATGCATGCAAGCACAGAAATATGTGCACATGCACACATACACATATGCACCCTCCATTACACACTATCTATCTGGAGTAGATAATAGATATTTAAACCTACATCTAGAAAAATTAGTGCCACTGATTACTTTGGGACAGAGTAGATGAATGAGGATGGATATTGAGGATAGAAAAAAGAAATTAATATTGATAAATGTACATTTATGCTAAATGAGATTGTAGATGTCATTTAATCTACAAACTCCATGGGATGTCTTCAAATCCAGTGACTGACTTGGGAAACTCTATGCGATGGGTTTTGAAAGTTTCTATAATTCATATTTTTATGTTGAAACTTAGGCTCCAATGTGATATTATTAAGAGTGAGGTGTAATGGAGGTCTGCGCCATGAGCAATATTAAATATCCCAATACTCAGTGAAAAACTGAGTTTCATCTTTGGATCAGAGAGCTAGGCATCACAATACAGCAAACAAGTTCATATCTTAACCTTGAACATCATGGTCTCCGAAAGCATGAATCTAATGAGATAGAGCACATGATTTTGACACAACTCACCCATATAATACAGGGGTTTTTTAAGAACTCATGTCGATGTTTTATAAAATGAAGCTTTGTTTTAAAGAGATGTTTTTATCATAGAGAAAATGACAGTGAGGATGAGAAAATGAGGGAGGATAGAAGGGACCTAGTGCCAGTGGAGTGTGAAAGGAGATGAGCCTTCCTTGGGAGGTTAACAATTCCACATTGTTATGGGAGCATTCACTAGAGGGTCTAACAAAGATGGCTCAGAAGGATAGAGTGAAATGCAGCAGATTTGTGATTAATGTAGAAAAACAGACAAGTGCAGAGGTTATGAGAATGTTAGGTTCAACCCAGGTTAGTTAGTATGTTTTGGGAAACTCAAGGTGACCCCATCAGCAGCCAGTGCTATACACCATTTCACACATAGGACACTATAGCTCTTTGTGCATGCGCTGAGATTTCTTTAGCTCCTGAATCTTCTCAGGCAGAGTCTGGGTCCAGAACTGCAGCCTTCTGGCCTTCGGGGCTCTGCCCACAGCAGGCCGGATGTTCAGCTGCAGGTACTGTTCTTCATGATCGAACACATGCCAGTAGGGTAGACCCTGTGGACATGCCAGTCAGCAGGGAAGGGTGAGGTCATTCTGATAATAAGTTTGACCCCCTGATTATGGTCAAGGCAGTAGAATATTAAGCCAGTGGTTAATGGGGCTGATGGGACAGGTGTCCTGATAAAGGGACACAAGTGTCACCCACTAGTTTCTGCGCCATGTGGCGGATGACTACCTGACCTGTTTTATATCTAATCTAAGAGGCAAGATTTAAGAACAGTGCCATAGTGTGATTACTCAGGAACCAGGTCACTGTAGATGACCAGTAACTGACACCTACAAAGTATCTATATAAATGTGCTATCCAGCAGAGAAGAATATATCATGTGATAGAAGATTCAGAAAAACTAAAGAGACCATCACCCAAAAGGGAGACCTATACAGGGACCCATACAGAGAAGGTTGACAGAAAGATTTGTTCTCACCCATGTCTTGCAAAGTTGGCCCAGTACTTCATCATCCTTTCATTCAGTAGCTTCTCTTCCTCAGTGGGGACAACTAAAGTCATGAGAAAAATAAATCCTGAAGTCCATGACACCGAACATAACTGCTCACTCATGCTTCCCACTCAGAATCCCAGCTGCTGTCGGATCCTAACTATCAGCTCTAATACCTTCCTTCTTCACTACACAATAGTCAACATCCATGTAATTCTCTAATGGAATTCCTGCCGCAGTGAACTGTCATCTCCATCACAGGCTAGACTGGCACGGGTCCAGATTCTAACCTTGGTATAATTTTTTAGCCTATGATATGGTAGACATTTGAATTTATTCTCTCCCAGAATCTAGTTTTTCTCAAATGGACTGAGAGCTCAGGAGATCCTGGGGTGTCATCTGTGACCTCAGTCAGCTCAAGGAGAATAAGGAAAACTCATGTTTCATGCCAAAGATGAAAGACCCAAAGACAAAAGGAACCTCATCACCATGGCCAGCCTTCACGTAGGGTGGCCTGAAATTCTTGAGGTAGCTGGGTTGATGTTGGAATTCATAGAAGTAGACAGGGGCATGGGAACCTGGAGGTAGGATAAACAGTGACTTAGTAGCCCATCAACATGCTATTTTCTGATACATATTTGCTGACAAGGTACCTTGATATGAAGTTACCTGGAATCATGTATGTTAAAGGGGAGAGAACGTTCCAGGCTGGAATTCTAGCTGTGGAAAAGCTCAGGCCAAAAGAGTGCTCATGGCCTTCCCAGCTGGATGGTTATGCCAAGTTAATAGATTATCAGAAACTCATTTTCTCTTCTGTACCTAGATGCACTCTACTAAACTAGACATGGGTTGGCAAGAATACAACATTGCTCCACAGTGCGCACCTATGACCCACATCTTTGAACTGCTCCCCCAATCCTTGTTACAAATGTACTCATGTTGAAAATGTGCTACTTGGATCACAAACATGAAGTCTGCCGTCATCTCTCTGAACTGTGCTTGCAGGGTCTGTGGGTCCTTAGTATCCCCCATGTACTCTTCCATTATCAGGTCGCTACACTCAGGAGGCAGCATCTACACCAAACAGATCAGAATGAATGCGGTTAGGCATGTTCTCAGTTACTTGGGCAGCAGCATTTGCTTTGGGGAGAATGGGGCCTGGGCAGAGATAGAGCGATAGGGAAAAAGGTTCATGCTCTGAGGTCACCCCGCACAGAATCACACACATATGCTGACCTTTGTTAATAGGGATACTATATGGGAAGGGATATGAGGGACATCTCCATTTGGATAGGACTAGCAATATCTCACCATTTGTGATGCTGTATTCTTCAAAAGAGCCTGCAGGTTCTCTCTTGTTATTTCCTTTATTGTCTGAGCAGTACCGAACATCTGGGTTGTAGAAGACCCTGTTAAGTGTAGGTTCTGATGGACTCCTTTAAAGATGCATTGTGTCCCCACTGTTTAGCATTTGAATCATCAATCACCCAAAGAATTGGAACTGAGACTCACCATGGGGATGACCCAACCATACTCATCATTGTTGACACCAATGATACTGGGGACAGGACGAAAATCCACAGAAGCCAACAACTCTTGGGGATGCTTGGGTAGGAAAACCCCGTCTACCACAGCAGGGATGATCTTAAAGACCTGAGGGGCATCAGAGTTAATGTTGAATGCAATGTGTATGTTGATGCCCACTGAGTTACCTCCACCACTTTCATATTTCTTACTGGCCTCAAAGTTCTCAGCTCACTCCAGAAGAGAATCTACGCTTAGATTAGCCTATCTTGGTGTTCATACTGTACACAGAACTAAAGAACACAAAGTTTGACTAGATGTCCCAAGGCTCACAATTCTACTTACCTTGTTAATATCCAGAATCTCTGCTTCACTCTTGCCTTTCAGACAGTGCATCAGGGCCTCTGAGTCCATGGTCCCACATCCAGACAGGTTGGCCACTGTCTGTGAAAGGGAACAAGTCGGGAGAAGAATACTTACAATTTCAAACTCAATGCTATTGCCCTAAATTCCATACAATATTATGTGTTGCATGTGTGTATATTATTTGTGTGTGTGTATATATGTATACATATGTATACATATACATATAAATTATTCCCTTTGTCCTACTCTTCAAAGGTGACAGGCATCAGGCAGTATCCTCTCTACCTCCACACGTTTTTATTTAGATTAGTTTTACTATCTCCAGCCACCCTTCTGTACATCGGAAATGAGAGAAGCAGTAAGTCTGCCGATGTTTGTATGTGAACATTAGAGGCCCAGATCTTTATTCACAGATGACCCTTATTTGAGACAGGGTGTCCTCTTGTTTTCTGCTCCTAGTTGTAGCTACACCATGAACATCTATGGATTCTCTTGTCTCTGCATCCCCCACCTAAGTACAGGAACCTACTATCACTACTATCTAGAGATAGATATCCTACTATATCTAGACTTTTGGGAGTACTGGATATTTGAACTTAGGTCCTCAGGTTTGTACTCCAAACACTTTTTAAAAAACCCACCAAGCTACCTCCATAAGCACATGCATATTTATTTTTGTCAGTGATGGAAGCTGCTTGGAGCAGTTTGCTGGTCAGATAACATAATCACCCAGTACGAAGTAGAAGCAAATAGCAGCTAACCCCTGAGTCTCTCAAAACTGGAGGGAAACCATTTTCCATGGTTATTGTTTTCCCCATGAGTCAGAAGACCAGATACCAGAAGACAAAGGCTGAGGGGGCAGACTCAGTCTATGATAGTTGAGGGCACTCACATTGTAGACCCTCTCATGGGTGTCAGAGATAAGGTCAGGCAGCAGGGAAACTCCACTCTCCATGATGGCTCTGTGGAAGAGTCTTTTGGACATGGGGGACAGAACAAGTGAAGACACACTTGTGCCACCTGCTGACTCGCCAAAGATGGTGACAAGGTCAGGGTTGCCTCCAAAGTGGGCAATGTCCTGCTGGACCCAGCGCAGGGCAGCCACTTGGTCCAGGTAGCCCCAGTTGCCTCTAGCGTGCTGGTCTCCAGTGCTGAGAAGTGGAAGGGACATGGATCAAAGGGCTGTCTAGGGTCTTCTCAGCTGCCAGTGGCTGCCCCAGTCCTATCCTCACCTGAAGAATCCCAGGACACCCAGATGATACTGGATATTAACAACCACCACATCCTCAATCGCTGCCAACATGGATCCATCAGTAATAGAAGCCATGCCTCCAACAAGGGCACCACCATGGATCCATACCATCACCTGGAGAAGTCAAGAGAGTTGCCGGGAAGTTCATAGCCATTCCTATTCTGCAAGACTGCTTACTAGAGAATCAACTGCTGTGCCTCTGTGCAGCTACACAAATACATGCAAATCCTCAGGACTTCAGGACCTTCGTCATAGGCGGGTTCTCTAGGTGCCCCATCAGTATATTTCTAGTCCCCACCACCCCCATGTATCTCAGTTTGAATTAATGGGTATTTGTAGAGTAATGTCGTCATTACTCAGACTCTGCATAGTGGAACGAAGAGCGGTGTCTTCATGGTTATCTCTCCAGACGAAAAAAGGAAAGGATCATCAGCTCTCAACAACACAACACATAATCCAAAAGTAGATATAGGTAAGCTTAATACTGAGGCTTGAGCACCTAAGTGGTCCTACAAAACTCAGGTTGTGTAATGAGTCCAGTTGTAATAAAGAACTAAAGCCTTTAATCAGTCAATGCTCCTGTTCTGTGTTCCATATCCAGGTGCTTAGTGTGGCTGAGAAGGCCTGCTTTGACCCAATAGGTAGAGGCTTTTCAGCAGAGTCCCCATTATAGTGGAGATCAGGTAGCTTTTATCCATTCTAATCATCTTGAAAACAATGCCCTTTCCCAAACTGACCATGTCCGGACACTCACAGGCAGGTTAGAGCCCACATGGGCATGAGCTGGTGTATAGATGTTGAGATATAGGCAGTTCTCAGACATAGAGAGTGCGGGCAGGGGCAGGTTCATGTCCTTCGGGCCCTCTGAATTCATCATTTCAAGGTTTTGCAGACAGATGATGGAAATAGCAGAGAGATATTTCAAGAGATACATAGTGGTCAAAAGCCAATGTGAGCTTGGATCTTTGTCCCCCACCTCCAGCGGCTCCTCTTCATGAGGCCCTGATAACACACCTTCCCCCTCTGAGGCCCTTCCACCAAGGTGATGGCCACAGGCTCCATGAGAGCTAGGATGAGTCCTCCAGTTTGATTAGGTCTGTATATTTTTTTTTCTGATTCTGGTATATAGAGACATCTCAGTGTCTCTATGGAAAAGATTGGATGTATGCGGTGACACTCACTAAAGTGTGTAAGAATAGAAAAGTGACCTAGACCCTTGCAATGTAAAGTATGCAAGCGATTTCACCTCTCTGTTCCTGGTTGTGGATGTGATGTGACCAGCTCCTATAATTTTCTTTCAGTGTAACTTCCCCACCATGATAAATTATCATCTACTTTAATAGTAGCTTTCTTTCCTAAACTGCTTTTCTTGGTACTTTATTACAACAACAGAAAACAAGCAGATTGCAATATTGGAGTGTGGTTCTCTACAGGAATCAGAGGAATCAATGGACAATACTGCCCAAAGCCAGTGAGAAATCACTCACCCCATGTACAGACTCAGGGAATTTCTTTTTCCTATGCCATCTTCAGTGAGAATTAGTTACATATAGTTCCTTGGTCAGTATTGCTTGGCCCAATAGGTTGTCACAGTGGCTGTGAGGATGGAGTTAGGAAGTATTCCTTCACACCTCTCAGAACCTGAAGTGTATTCTACTTGATTTGGGGTGCTCTCTCCTTAATAGTCACACAACTCATGCCTCGAGATCCATCCCATTGTTGAAGAGAACGCTGGGCTTTATTGAATCTGTGACTAAATTTAATCTTTGTTCCTCTCTACAGTACCTGCATCTGACTCTCAATGGTGCCAAGCTCTGACCCAGGAGCTGGTACAGTTGTTCTACTCAGCCTTTGCACATGTGTTAGAAAAATGCATGGCGGATTCTCCACAGTGAAAGAAAACTGCTGTGGGGCTGAGATGGACGAATGACTTCAGCACGACTCAGAGCTCAGAGCAGGGCCAGACGACCTCTGTACAGAACTTACATGGCTGGATGTGAGGTCCCATCTTTATGGTTCAGGGGCTTCAGGGGGTGCAAAATGCAGTGGTCCTACAGGCGGCTTGGAAAAGTGGATTCCCAGGAAGGTATGGACACCAACTTCGGCATCATTCACTTCAACAAGGCTGCCTCGGACCTGGCCTGTGTGTGTGTTTCTGATGGGGCTGGACTCTGAGGTGTCCTGACCTGTTTAGAGAAACGCCATCTGGGTTAGTTGAGTGTAATCAGTTGCCAGCAGATTGTGGGAGTTAACATCGCACTGTTACCAGGGCAAAAAAGAAGGGAACCCAGGACCTCCTAGTTCAGCTAGCTGTAGGGTGTGAGTGTGGGAACTTCCCTATCCCTCAGGGCCTTTCCAATTGCCCTTTGAAAGGTGTCAGAACATTTCTCTGGCCACAGAGTTCACACACTCTGAGCTATTTGGCCACGTGAAATTATGATTATTGTCATTCTTACATAAAGGCCTGCTGTAGCTACAGTAAGAGTCATATATTGAAAAGGGAAAAATTCCAGGAGCCAATATCCAGAAGACAGGGCAAAGTCACCCTGCTCATTCTGTTTCCTCCTTGGCCCTGGAAAGGCACAGCATGGATTCTGAAGCTCTCCTGGGACACCAGGAGCCCTGTCCTCACATGGGACAGAAAGCTGTAACAGGAGAGACAGAGGGCTTCTGTAAGTAGGGACACACTCAAGATGTCTCAGGAGAGACAGGCACATGCAGGAGCTCTGGGTGTGACCTTCATCCTCAAGACTCTTCTGTGCTTGGAAGACTCAGTTACTGAGCCTGGATCCAGGCTCCTGGTCTCTTCAATATTCTTAGTGTCTACATGGACACCTCCCTGTTAGGTCACAGGTGTTTGATCAAAACAGAGTACAAAACTGGTTGTTTTATAGTCCCCAGACCCTATTCACTCCACCCTTGAGATGTGTCTCCTCTAGTGGCCTGCTCCTGCCAAGATCAACTTCACCATCACTTATACATTTCACAAATATTTATAACTGTTTGTATCTATTTATTTATTTATTTTGTGCGTATGTACATATGTATGTGCATGTATGTAGATTTTCCCAGTGCCTAGCTCACATATGGAGGTGAAGGAAGAATTTGTGTAAGTTTATACTCTAATCCCACCATATGAAGGGCAAAGTGGACCTTAGGTCGTTAGGATTGGAGTGAAGTTCTTTTACCACCTCTTGATTAATATCATATGTAACCATGTGGTAAGCATTTGATTGGGCCTTGCAGATTCCAACACAGGGGTTAATCAGAGGTCAAAGGAACTATGATAAACCTGAGATAAAGGTGTATAAATAGAAGTTTTAGAGTCCCAATAAAGCACTAAGATGATATATCAAAGGATGCAGGATCAGGAGTCCAGACTGGCTACCGAGAGGAAGTGGCATGGGGGTCAGTGTCAGACAACCTTTAGTGCCACCTGAGAATTGGCTTTGGCTACAAATTATCTTCATTATTACTATATAATAGTCTAGAGTTCCACTAGGAAACTCAGCTCATGGATATCATTATTAATCCCATCAGCCCAGTCTAACCAAAAAAACCAACAACAACAACAACAAAAAAAAACAATATTTGAATAAGAAAGCTAGCCATCAATACACAGCACACCCAATAGTACCTTAACTTTGGAATTCATGGTCTCCAAAACTGTGAGCAAATTCCTTTTGGTTATAAGTCACATTGGTTATGATATATACAAACTCATGTATGCATATTACATGTATCAGTCTATGCATACAGGCAATTGAGATGAAGTGTGTGTATCTGTTACCAGATGACCTGAAACTCTTGAGCTCATATAACCCACCTTCCTTGGCCTTCCAAGTACCCAGGACACTTGTGTCTGTCATAGACCTGAGCTTGCTGCTTACGATGAATTTTGTTATGGGCACATAAACTTTCTGATACACCAGGGCTGTGTCAAGTCACATGTTTTATAAGTTTCTCGTGTAGATAAGAATACTTAGAGCTTGTTAACAAATGGACATGAGAATTTGACATCCCATCACTGCTTCTGAGTCAATTTCCTCAAACATCAGAAGTGGAGACAGAATATTGAATTCCAGGATCTTATACATATGAGACAAGTGCTCTATTCCTAAACTATATATTGAAGATGTATATTTTAATCTTTGATAATTTCATAACATATACAATGTATTTAAATCATGCTTACTCCCTTACCTTAGGCAGCCTTGATTCTTTCCATACAGAAAGGTGCAGGGAGGTGTCCAGTGAAGCCCCTTTTGCTGGGTTGGTCATGACCACAAGCTCCCATCTTTCTGGTAACTCACTGTAACATGAGAGGGCCTGCTTGTTTGTGTTTTCTCCCCTGCCCGGTTCCCATAGCTTTTTAGCCCCAAAGAAAATTACACAGAGATCTCTGTAAGTTATAAAGATGGTTGGCCCATTAGGTCAGGCTTCTTACTGGCTAACTCTCACATCTTGATTAACCCATTTTTCTGATGTATTTTTGCCATATCGCTTGGTACCTTTTTCAGCTGGTAGATCACAACATACTTCTTTGGAGTCTGGGCAGAAGTGGGAGGAATCAGCTTCCTCCTTGCAAAATTCTCCTGTTCTCCTTGCATCGTTTCTACTTCCTGTCTGGTTTTCCCGCCTATACTTCCTGCCTGGTTAATCAGCGTTTTATTTAAAACATGATTGACAGATTACAGACAATTCTCCCGCACCAACTCACCTCACAGAGCACCATGTTTTTTCACCATAGAGTTTGGCAGAAATAAGCTTCAAGTCAGCCTCATGTTTCTGAGATGCCTTCTCTCTGATCCACATGGCTGACCACCTTTTGTGTCAACTGGTGTGGATGAGGGCAGAGCAGCATCATATCCAGACATCAGTAGGTTTTGCCTACATCTTCCCAAGGTTAAAAGCTCATCCCCTGTCTTCAGTGATTGCTGCCTGTTAGAAATTTTTCCTAATGCGACCTCTCTGCCAACACAAAAACCCCAATGACGCCAAATCACAACAAGCCAAATTAAGAAATATCCAGGTTTAATGGGATTCCTGCACTCTCGGGTGGCCCCCGGGAACGGAGAGGAGGAGAGGAAAGAGACCTTGCTTTTAACGCTAGTGACCATTAACTAGAACCCAGGAAAGTGCAGACAAGGGTCTCAGGCTGAGGGAAGTATGTCATCTTTGAGTGGCTTGTACTACTAGGAGTGGTAATAAGTTCTCAGAGTTCACAGTAGAACGACTAGGGATAAGAAGCATCAAGGTTTGAAGACACACCCTGCCCCAGTACTCTCTTGGCTCAGCTTCTTTAAGGACAGAAAGACTATGTGGCAGACCTAGACCACATGTTCTTTGCCCTAGAGTCTACCTTGTTCCTTTGTCCAAGGTCAGACATGTTGAAGGGATCCTGTCCTCTCATTTCTCCAGCTGTGAGGCTGGAGAGGTCCAGTTCTGTTTTGGTCCAGGATACTCTCCATAATCTTTCTGAGGGCACCTGGGTAATTCTCTGACCTAAGTGGTGAGTTGTAAGATGCCAATGACGCCATGAATAATAGTTAATAGTTTCATTGTTATTCTTGGGTACTCAGCAGCAGCCGCCACAGTCTAACCATAGACACACAGAGAAGAGAAATGTCCCCTCTGTCCCTGTGCTCCTGACCATCTGCCTGGTCCCCTGACCTCCAGGTCCAGCACTCATCAGAGCCCCTCACACTGTTATTTCTCAGTGCTGAGTGTCTTCGGGTCTCGCTGACCCCCGTCTTTGTTATAGGGCCACCCGTGGGCTTAGGTGGAGGCATTGTCCCTCACTGCTGCCTGTCATTCTCCATATGATCCTCCCTCTCTGACCCCTTGCCTCCTCCTGCCTCTCGGTCTCTGACTCTGCAGAGGTTGGCAGTTCTGACCCTGCTCCCATCTTCCTCTTTCAGAGTCTCACCCTGAACACACGGGAGGAGAAGAGAAACACACAGGCTATGGCCTTCAGGAAGTCAGGAAATTGATCCAGTGGCATGGTCAGGTTTCTCAGTGGTTCTCACTGTTCCTAGTGCTGTGATCTTTTAAGACAGCTCCTCATGTTGTGTTGACCCCAACCATAAAATCATTGTGTTGACACTTCATAACTGTAATTTCATTACTATTATAAACAATAATGCAAATATCTGATACTTGGAATATGAGATATGCAACCCATCTAAAAAGCTTTTTTTGGGCACTCTCTGCACCCACAAAGTGGTCACAACTGACAGGTTGAGAACCACTCAGCTAGGTCCTGGGCCTGGGTTTGTGTTGCGATGAGATGCACTGTGTTTCCCAACAGGAAGCAGTTGTGGGCCTCACCCAGGAAGGAATTTGAACTCAACAAGGTATAGGTGAGAACTCTATGAGGCAGTGCAAGGTAATGTCCCAGGAGACCAGCACTGACCAGACAGACTTAAAGAGAGCCTGTGCTTATCAGTCTATTAGGCTGGCAAAGACACCTATCTGTTTTGTCTTTTTATTGCATCCCCTTCAGAAGGAACAGCATGGACTCTGAAATCATTCTGAATATCAGTGACCCTTACCCCAAACCCCACCCCAAATCACGGTGACTTCCTTGTCACAGACCCAGCCCAGGGGACGGGTAGGGAGCAGGAAGCAGAAGGCTGCACTTGAGAGTCTGTATCTCTCAGCAGATGTGTGCAGAGGATTCCACAGATGGAGAAATCGCAGAGGGAGAAGGGCATGGACATTTGAAATTTATACCTAGGGACTTAGGCCTGCAAATGCCACTCCACCCCTCATAACTGCATATCTTCCATGGAATATTGTATGTTGTCTTTTGCATTTCATTTGTTTCCTTTCCATTTTATTTCATTTGTTGAATTTTAACCTTCATGTTTGATTTTTTGAATGACATATTCATCATTCAAAAGCATATTGGTTAATCTCAATGAGATTGCATGCTCTATAGTTTCTTTTGCTGTGATTGCAGAGTTTATTCCATTGTAATAAAACAGGAGAAATGTTTTCAGTTTTTCTATATTGGGTAAAACGTTCTTTCTGTCATAATATATACGTATATATGTTTCTATCATATATATATATACATGCACACACATATATATGTATGTGTGTATGAGTGTGTGTGTGTGTGTGTGTGTGTGTGTGTGTGTTTGTGTGTGTGAGAGAGACCTATCTTATAGAACATCCCAGAAGTTCTGGAAATAATGTGTATCATCTGTAGTGTTTGGATGGAATTTTATGTAGGTAGCTGTTAAGTCTCAATGATATCATTTTCATTGTATTTCTCTGTTGACTTTTATGTGTTTTCCTTAATTGCCTGTCTCTTAATTCATCTATCATTCATCTGTACCCACACTATTGGCAAACTCCCACCAAGATCAAACTTAGAGACAATAATATCCAACTGACAGACATTTTCAGGCCCTGTTGTATCCCATACTGGGACTCTCTGGGCTCTCAGAGCCTATGATATAATGAGATACTGGCCCATGAACAGGAGTTTCAGAATCCCAGGGATCCTGCCAGGACACAAACAGAGTACAGGGTAAAGATTCTGCAACAGCTCAGTATGAATTCTTGGATGAGAAGGTAAGCAGTCTCAGACTTTAGGGACACCTGAGGACTGGCTAACCTTGGCTTTTCTGCCCCGCCCCAATTCTAGGGCACGCACAGCCCAGAACAGTAGACTTTCCCCGTCAGTGGATTACAGTGTTCTCATTGACCAGGTACAGCCATGTCTTCACTTGCCCTGTCCCGAGCAGATGTTCTCTCTTCCCTCAATTTCCTGGCTGAAGAACAGCTGGCCTATGGCAGATGGACTGTTCCAGCTCTTCTAAGATCAAAGACGTGCACTACATTCTTTGTGTTACCTGAATAGCCTGATGTCTTAATTGTTGGCAGCAGGAATTAAATACTGAGCTCAGGCCCCACTGGGGAAATCTGGCACCAGCCCTTCTGGAGGGTATCCTTCTCTGCCCATGGTGTCCAGAATGGACAATCAATAATCTTCACTGTAACCCCAAAGGTCATGCTGTCCTGGGGTTGGCTTTCCTTGCATTGGATTTTAAAAGGGGGAGTTTGCCAACCAGGAAGTTTGATTTGTAGAACGAGCTGAGCAGAGGTAAGATGACATGTCAGTATCTCTAACACAAAGGATCTGGGCTCTTAGTGAAAAGGAAAAAAATGTTTTGAGAAAATTCGGCAGCTTGAGAACAGTTTGACCCCTTTGTATACTGACATAAAGTAAAAGAATTATTTTATTTTTATTGTTTACTTTTATTAGAATAGCCAAAAATGTTTAGTAACAGCAAATAAGTGAGAATGAGAATCATGGATTATGGACAATCAAGGACAAAGGGTTATCACAATTGGGAGGTTGCACGGGAACTGTGGAAGTCAAGAGAACACCCTGAAACAAGTGCTCAGTGAGACAGGGGACAGCAATCTCTTTCATTCTTGTGGACTTCTGATCCCTCTACCCAACTATGAGGACTCACCCAAGAGTCAAACATCTTCACAGATGTGGTTTGATGATGCGATTGTTGGCATTACCATGGCTACAGAACCCTTGGGATTCAAGTCAAACCTTGGCAGACACAAAATAACAAACTTGGTTTTCTGGACACACATACACACACATGCACACGGACACACACAAATAACCCACAAGTATGCACATACAGACACATACATGCATATAATTTTATGCATGCCCACATACACACATGTGTGTACACAAAAACAAAATACTACTCACACAAAAGCACAAATATGTATGCATTCACACAAGTACTGAGTCATCTGTGTGTACACGCACACAGACATGTACACCTCCCCCCCCCCACACACACACACTGTCTCAGACTGGAGTAGATAATAGATATTTAAACCTACATCCAAAACAAAATAGTGCCACTGACTACTTTGGGGCAGAATAGATGAATGCAGTTGAATATTAAGAAAAAACAAATCGTCAGGTAGTGGTGGCACATGCCTTTAATCCTAGCACTTCGGAGGCAGAGGCAGGCAGATCTCTATGAGTTCAAGGCCAGCCTGATCTACAAGAGCTAGTTCCAGGACAAGCTCCAAAGCTACAGAGAAACCCTGTCACAAAAAAACAAAAAAAAGAAAAAAAAGGAAAAAAATCAATATTGATCAATGTACAGATTATGTTAAATGAGACTGTAGGTGACATTTAATCGACAAACACCATGGGATGCTTTCAAATCCGGTCACTGACTTGGGAACCTCTATGTGATGTGTTTTGAAAGTATCTATGATACGTATTTCTATATTGAAACTTAGACTCCAATGTGATGTTATTAAGAGTGAGGCCTAGTGGAGGTCTGGGACATGAGAAACATTAAAATATCCCAATACTCAGTGAAAAACCCAGGTTTCATCCCTGGATCAGAGAGCTGGTCATCACGATACAGCAAACAGGTTCATATCTTAACCTTGGACTTCATGGCCACAAAAGCACGAACCTAATGAGATTTTTCACACCTCACTCATATGATATGGTGTTTTTGAAGAACCCACATCGATGGTTTTCAAACTTCTGCTTTATTTTAAGGAGATGTTTTTGTCTTAGAGAAAATGAAAATGAGGGTGAGAAATTAAGGGAGGAAGGAAGGAAGGAACCTAGTACCAATGGTTGTTAAAGTTGGTGAGAACGCCTTGGGATGTTAACAATTCCACATCGTTATAGGAGCATTCATTGAGTGGCTCTAACCAAAGGTGACCCAGCAGGATAGAGTCACATGCAGGGGATTCGTGATAAATGTAAAAGAACAAGTTCAGAGGTTATATGAATGTTAGAATCAGCCCAGATCCCTCAATTAATTTTTTGAACCTCAAAGCAACCCCATCAGCAGCCAATGCTAAACACCATTCCCCGCACAGGACACTATAGCTCTTTGTGCGTGCTCTGAGATTTTTTTAGCTCCTGGATCTTCTGAGGCAGAGCCTTGGTCCAGAACTGCAGCCTTCTGGCCTTCAGGGCTCGGCCCACAGCAGTCTGGATGTCCAGCTGCGGGTACTGCTCATCATGGTCCATCATGGGCCAGTAGGGTAGACCCTCACTATTAGGGTTCCTGTGGATATGTATACATGCATACAATTGTCTGTATGCTCACAAACACACATGTGTATACACAAAAGCACACACATAAAATCACATACGTGCACAAATATTCATGCAAGCACAGAAATATGTGTATGTGCACACATACATACGAGGACCCTCCATCACACACTATCTATCTGGAGTAGATAATAGATATTTAAACCTACATCTAGAAAAAAAATAGTGCCACTGATTACTTTGGGACAGAGTAGACGAATGAGGATGAATATTGAGAAGGATAGAAAAAGAAATTAATATTGATAAATGTACATTTATGCTAAATGAGTTTGTACGTGTCATTTAATCTACAAACTCCATGGGATGCCTTCAAATCCAGTGACTGACCTGGGAAACTCTATGTAATGGGTTTGAAAGTTTCTATGATTCATATTTTTATGTTGAAACTTAGGCTCCAATGTGATATTATTAAGAGTGAGGTGTAATGGAGGTCTGCGCCATGAGCAATATTAAATATCCCAATACTCAGTGAAAAACTGAGTTTCATCTTTGGATCAGAGAGCTAGTCATCACAATACAGCAAACGGGTTCGTATCTTAACCTTGGACTTTATGGTCTCCAAAAGCATGGACCTAATGAGATAGAGCACCTGATTTTGACACAACCCACCCATATGATACGGGTTTTTAAAGAACCCATATAAATGTTTTTTCAAAATTCTGCTTTATTTTAAAGAGGAATGGGTATATTGGGGCTCACAAATCCACATTGTTAAGGGAGCATTTATTGAGTTGGTCTAACCAAAGATGACGCAGGATTGGTGATAAATGTAGAAGAACAGATAAGTGCGGAGGTTATATGAATCAACCAGGACATATATATATCTATATGTGTGTGTGTGTGTGTGTGTGTGTGTGTGTGTGTGTGTGTATTCAACACAGATCCCTCAATAAATTTTGGGAACCTCAAAGCAACCCCATCAGCAGCCAATGCTACACACCATTCCTCACACAGGGCACTATAGCTCTTTGTGCATGCGCTGAGATTTCTTTAGCTCCTGGATCTTCTGGGGCAGAGTCTGGGTCCAGAACTGCAGCCTTCTGGCCTTCAGAGCTCGGCCCACAGCAGGGTGGATGTTCAGCTGCAGGTACTGCTCGTCATCGTCCATCATGGGCCAGTGGGGTAGACCCTCGCTGTTGGGGTTCCTGTGGGTATGACAGCCAGCGGGGAAGGGTGAGGTCACTCTGATTCTAAGTCTGACCACTTTTTTGAGTCAAGGCATTGGATCAAGGCCAGTGGTTAATGGGGTGTATGGGACAGGTGTCCTGATAAAGGGACACAAGTGTCACCCACTAGATTCTGCTCCATGTGGGGGAAGACTATTTGGCATGTTTTACAATCTACATCTAAGAGGCAAGATATAAAAAACAGTACCAGAGTACTATGGCTCATGAGCCAGGTTACTGTAGATGATCAGTAACTGACACCTACAAAATATCTATATAAATGTGCTATCCTTGAGAAGAATCTATCATGTGATGGAAGATTCAGGAATGCTAAAGAGACCATGACACAAAGGGAATTCCTATATAGGGACCTACATATCCCTATAACCCATATAGGGAAGGTTGAGAGAGAGGTGTGTTCTCACCCATGTCTTGCAAAGTTGGCCCAGTACTTCATCATTCTTCCATTCAGTAGCTTCTCCTCCTCAGTGAGGTCAACTGCAGTCATGAGAAAAATAAATCTTGACGTCCATGACATCAAACATAACTGCTCACTCAAGCTTCACATCAGAATTCCATCTGCTGTCATCCCTAACTATCAGCTTTATTCCCTCCCTTCTTCATTATACAATAGTCAACATCCATGCAATCCTCTAATGGAATTCCTGCCCCAGTGAGCTGTCATCTCTATCACAGGCTAGACTGGCATGGGTCCAGATTCTAATCTTGGTATAATTTTTTAGTCTATGATATGATACATGTTTGAATTTCTTCTCTCCCAGAATCTAGTTTTCCTCAAATGGACTGGGAGCTCAGAAGTCCCTGGGATGTCATCTGCGATGTCAGACTCACGTTTTATACCAAAGATGAAGGATCCAAAGACAAAAGTAATCTCATCACCATGGTCAGCCTTCACATAGGGTGACCTGAAACTCTTGAGGAAGCTGGGTTGATGTTGGAATTCATAGAAGTAGACAGGGGCATGGGAACCTGGGGGTAGGACAAACAGTGACTTAGTAGCCCATCAACTGGACTTTTGCTGAAACATTTGTTGGCAAGGTACCTTGATATGAAGTTACCCGGAATAATAAATGCTAAAGGGGGAGAGAAAGTTCCAGGCTGGAACTGTAGCTGTGGAAAAACCCAGGGCAAAACAGTGCTCATGGCCTTCCCAGCCGGATGGTTATGCCAAGTTAATAGATTTTCAGAAACTCATTTTTTTCCTCTGCATCTAGATGTCATTCTACTAAACTAAACATGAGGAGACCTGGATTCCCACACCACTCCACAGTGCTCACCCATGGTCTCCATCTCTGAACTGCTCCCCTAAGATTGTTACAGATGTACTCACGGTGAAAATGTGCTACTTGGAGTGCAGGGATCACAAACATGAAGTCTCCCATCATCTCTGTAAACTGTAATTGGAGGGTCTGTGGGTCCTCAGTGTCCCCCATGTACTCTTCCATCATCAGATCGCTACACTCAGGAGGCAGCATCTACACCAGGAGATCAGGATGAATGCAGTTAGGCATGTTCTCGCTTAGTTGGGCAGCAGAGTGTGCTTTCAGGAGAATGGGGCCTGGGCAGAGATAGGGCGCAGGTGAAAAGGTTCATGCTCTGAGGTCACCCCACACAGAATCACACACATATGTTGACCTTCGCTAATAGGGATGCTATCTGAGAAGGGATATGAGGGACATCTCCTTTTGGATAGGACCAGTGGTATCTCACCATTTGTGATGCTGTATTCTTCAAAATAGCCTGCAGGTTCTCTCTAGTTATTTCCTTTATTGTATGAGCAATGCCGAAGATCTGGGTAGTAGAAGACCTTGTTAAGTGTGGATCTGATGGACTCCTTTAAAGATGAATTGTGTCCCCACTGTTTAGCAAAAAATTCTCTAATCTCTCAAAGAATTGTACTGAGACTCACCATGGGGATGACCCAACCATACTCATCATTGTTGACACCAATGATGCTGGGGACAGGACGAAAATCCACAGAAGTCAACAACTCTTGGGGATGCTTGGGTAGGAAAACCCCATCCACCACAGCAGGGATGACCTTGAAGTCCTGAGGGGCATTAAAATCAATGCTGAAGGTCAATTAAACGTATATGTTGATGCTCACTGAGTCACTTCCACCACTTTCATATTTCTTACTGGCCTCAGGGTTCTCAGCTCACTCCGGAAGAGAATCTACACTTAGATTAGCCTATCTTGTTGTTCATAGTGTACACAGAACTAAAGAACACAAAGTCTGACTAGATGTTCCAAGGCACACAATTCTACTTACCTTGTTAATGACCAGAATCTCTGCTTCACTCTTGCCTCTCAGACAGTGTACCAGGGCCTCTGAGTCCATGGTCCCACATCCAGACAGGTTGGCCACTGTCTGTGAAGGGGCACAAGTGGGGAGAAGAATATTTACAATTTCAATTCAATGCTAATGCCCTAAATTCTATACAATAGTATGTGCTGTATGTGTGTATACATATATATACACACACACATATACATATAAATTTTCCCCTTTGTCCTACTCTTCAAAGGTGACAGGCATCAGGCAGTATCCTCTCTACCTCCACACGTTTTCCCTTAGGGTAGTTTTATGAACTCCAGCTACCCTTCTGTATATTGGATGTGAGAGAAGCAGTAAGTGTACCAATGTTTATATGTGAACATTAGAGGCCCTGATCTTTCTTCACAGATGCCTCTTATTTGAGAAAGGGGGTCATATTGTTTTCTGCTCCTAGTTTAAGCTACGCCGTGAACATCTAGGGATTCTCTTGTCTCTGCATCACCCACCTGAGCACAGAAACCTTGGAATTACAGACATCCTACTATCTTCAACCTTTTGAACTAGGTCCTCAGGCTTGTACTCCAAACACTTAAAAAAAAAAAAAAACCCACCAAGCTATCTCCATAAGTACACGCATATTTATTTTTGTCACTGATGGAAGCCGCTTGGAGCAGTTTGCTGGTCAGATAACATGATCACCAAGTATGAAGTAGAGGCAAGTAGCAGCTAACCCCTGAGTTTCTCAAAACTTATTGGAAGGAAACTATTTTCCATGGTTATTGTTTTCCCCATGAGACAGAAGACCAGAGTACCAGAAGACAAAGGCTGGGGGGGCAGACTCAGTCTATGGTGGTTGAGGGCACTCACATTGTAGACCCTCTCGTGGGTGTCAGAGATAAGGTCAGGCAGCAGGGCCACTCCACTCTCCATGATGGCTCTGTGGAAGAGTCCTTTGGACATGGGGGACACAACAAGTGAAGACACACTTGTGCCACCTGCTGACTCGCCAAAGATGGTGACAAGGTCAGGGTTGCCTCCAAAGTGGGCGATGTTCTGCTGGACCCAGCGTAGGGCGGCTACTTGATCCAGGAAGCCCCAGTTGCCTCTGGCGTGCTGGTCTCCAGTGCTGAGAAGTGGAAGAGACATGGATCAAAGGGCTATCCAGGTTCTTCTCAGTTGCCATTGTCTGCCCCAGTTTTATCCTCACCTGAAGAATCCCAGGACACCCAGACGATACTGGATATTAACAACCACCACATCCTCAATCGCTGCCAACATGGATCCATCAGTAATAGAAGCCATGCCTCCAACAAGGGCACCACCATGGATCCACACCATCACCTGGAGAAGTCAAGAGAGTTGCCGGGAAGCTCATAGCCATTCCAATTCTGCAAGACTGCTTACTAGAGAATCAACTGCTGTGCCTCTGTGCAGCTACACAAATACATGCAAATCCTCAGGACTTCAGGACCTTCGTCATAGGCGGGTTCTCTAGTAACCCCATCAGTATATTTCTAGTCCGCATTACCACCATGTATCTCAGTTTGAATTAATGGGTATTTGTAGAGTAATGTCGTCATTACTCAGACTCTGCATAGTGGAACGAAGAGCGGTGTCTTCATGGTTATCTCTCCAGACGAAAAAAGGAAAGGATCATCAGCTCTCAACAACACAACGCATAATCCAAAAGTAGATATAGGTAAGCTTAATACTGAGGCTTGAGCACCTAAGTGGTCCTACAGAACTCTGGTTGTGGAAGGAGTCTAGTTGTAACAAAGAACTGGAGCATTTAATCAGTCAATGCTCCTGTTCTGTGTTCCATATCCAGGTGCTTAGTGTGGCTGAGAAGGCCTGCTTTGACCCAATAGGTAGAGGCTTTTCAGCAGAGTCCCCACTACAGTGGAGATCAGGTTGCTTTTAGCCCTTCTAATCATCTTGAAAACAATGCCCTCTCCCAAGCTAACCATGTCCGGACACTCACAGGCAGGTTAGAGCCCTCACGGGCATGCGCTGGTGCGTAGATGTTGAGATACAGGCAGTCCTCAGACATAGAGAGTGTGTGCAGGGGCAGGTTCATGTCCTTCAGGCCCACTGAATTCATCATTTCAAGGTTTTGCAGACAGCTGATGGAAATAGCAGACAGATATTCCAAGAGATGCATGGTGGTCAAAAGCAAATGTGAGCCTGGACTTTGTGTCCCCCACCTCCAGCGGCTGCTCTTCATGAGGCCCTGACAACACATGTTCCCCCTCTGAAGTCCCTTCCACCAAGGTAATGGCCACAGGCTCCACGAAAGTTTGGGTGGGGTCTTTCAGTTTGGTTGGGTCTGTATATTTTTTCTGAGTCTGGTATATAGAGACATCTCAGTGTCTCTATGTAAATGATTGGATGTATGCAGTGACACTCACTAAAGTGTATAAGAATAGAAAAGTGACCTAGACCTTAGCAATGTAAAGCATGCAAGCATTTTCTCCTCTCTGTTCCTGGTTGGGGATGTGATGTGACCAGCTCTGTAGGGCCCTGTCTTCCCTGTTCCTTGAGGCTGAAGCACAGGATGCAAGAATTGTTTATGCTAACCAGCTTAACTTCCCCTGCGCATTCTGGCAGCAGGAGGGAATTAGCCTTGTTTCTGTCATTGCTATGATAATTTCACTTGCTAAGAAGGTCCTCACAGGAGCCCTAAATCTCCTCCCATCTGTCTGTCAGAGTTCCCAGCTTGATACCCCCTGCATGGAGGCTCAGGCCACTGGCTCCAGGCAGTCAACACTATGATCTCACTCCCAGGTGGGAGGGGGGCTCTCATCCTCTTGCCTCCAAGTATATAAGCCTACGTGTGCTGAAGAAAGATTGACATTTACCCTTTGGGTGAATGATCCGATCTCTGTGTGTGTGTGTGTGTGTCTGTTCAACTCCTGGGATAATGATCCAGACTCGTGGCAACCTGGTACAGGAGGCGCGCCCTGTACCAGGAGAGTGAGGTTTCACAGAAAAGCAAGCAGCATAGCTCCTGTAATTTTCTTTCAGTGTAACTTCCCCAACATGATAAATTATCATCTACTTTAATAGTAGCTTTCTTTCCTAAACTGCTTTTCTTGGTACTTTATTACAACAACAGAAAACAAACAGATTGCAATATTGGAGTGTGGTTCTCTACGGAAATAGAGGAATCAATGGACAATACTGCCCAAAGCAAGTGAGAAATCCCTCACCCCATGTACAGACTCAGGGAATTTCTTTTTCCTATGCCGTCTTCAGTGAGAATTAGTTACATATAGTTCCTTGGTCAGTATTGCTTGGCCCAATAGGTTGTCACAGTGGCTGTGAGGATGGAGTTAGGAAATATTCCTTCACACCTCTCAGGACCTGAAGTGTATTCTACTTGATTTGGGGTGCTCTCTCCTTAATAGGTCACACAACTCATGCCTTGAGATCCATCCCATTGTTGAAAAGAACACTGGGCTTTATTGAATCTGTGACTAAATTTAATCTTTGTTCCTCTCTACAGTACCTGCATCTGACTCTCAATGGTGCCAAGCTCTGACCCAGGAGCTGGTACAGTTGTTCTACTCAGCCTTTGCACATGTGTTAGAAAAATGCATGGCGGGCTCCCCACAGTGAGAGAAAACTGCAGTGGAGCTGAGATGGAGGAAAGACTTCAGCAAGACTCAGAGCTCAGAGCAAATGTTCACCCCAGGGCCAGACGTCCTCTGTACAGAACTTACATGGCTGGATGTGAGGTCCCATCTCTCACACCACTCCATGGTTCAGGGGCTTCAGGGGGTGCAAAACGCAGTGGTCCTACAGGCGGCTTGGCAAAGGGGATGCCCAGGAAACTGTGGACACCAACTTTGGCATCATTCACTTCAACAAGGCTGCCTCGGACCTGGCCTGTGTGTGTGTTTCTGATGGGGCTGGCATCTGAGGAGTCCTGACCTGTTTAGAGAAATGCCATCTGGGTTAGTTGAGTGTAATCAGTTGCCAGCAGATTGTGGGAATTAACATTGCACTGTTACCAGGGCAAAAAAGAAGGGAACCCAGGACCTCCTAGTTCAGCTGTGGGGTGTGAGTGTGGGAACTTCCCTATCCCTCAGGGCCTTTCCAATTGCCCTTTGAAAGGTGTCAGAGCATTTCTCTGGCCACAGAGTTCACACACTCTGAGCTATTTGGCCTCGTGAAATTATGATGATTGTCATTCTTACACAAAGGCCTGCTGTAGCTACAGTAAGAGTCATATATTGAGGAGGGAAAAATTCCTTCATCTTGCTTTTCCTTGAATTCTCTAGCATTCACCAGAGCTCCTTACACTGAACTGGTCTCCTCACTATGGAGAGATTTTAGACATCTCTGACCCTCAGTTAGTGTGCTTTGGCTATGGGCTTGGGAGACACATGATTCCCACACTTTAGTCTGTCCTTTCCATCACCAAATCCTGCACCCCTGCTCCCTGGCCTTCCCTCCCTCCCACAAACTCAACCTCTGATTTCAGTCATTTCCCATTAACAACTTATTGAGCCTCACCCTTTACATGAAGTAGGAAAAGCAGGAGCCCAAAGACCACAGCATTCAGCCAGCTATGAAGTTGTTTCAGGGGCATGATCAGCTCTCAGGTCTGGGTCTCTGCTGCTATGTAGGACAGCCACGTTTCACAAACAGGAAGCAGAATGTGTGTGTCCTCCCTAGCTATGAATTTAAATCAAAAGGATGTGGGTGGGGACCTTGGTGTGGTGGGGCAAAGTTCTCATTGTTGGAGAACTGATTAGTCAGAAGTAACAGGAGCCAATATCCAGAAGACAGGGCAAAGTCATCCTGCTCGTTCTGTTTCCTCCTTGGCCCTGGAAAGGCACAGCATGGATTCTGAAGCTCTTCTGGGACACCAGGAGCCCTGTCCTCACACATGGACAGAAAGCTGTAACAGGAGAGACAGGGGGCTTCTGTGAGTAGGGACACACTCAAGATGTCACAGGAGAGACAGGCACATGCAGGAGCTCTGAGTGTGACCTTCATCTTCAAGACGCTTCTGTGCTTGGAAGACTCAGTTACTGAGCCTGGATCCAGGCTCCCAGGTCTCTTCAATATTCTTAGTGTCTACATGGACACCTCCCTGTTAGGTCACAGTTGTTTGATCAAAACAAAGTACAAAACTGGTACTTTTATAGTCCCCAGACCCTATTCACTCCACCCTTGAGATGTGTCTCCTCTAGTGGCCTGTTCCTGCCAAGATCAACTTCACCATCACTTATACATTTCACAAATATTTGTAATTGTTTGCATCTATTTATTTATTTTGTGCGTATATACATATGTGTGTGCATGTATGTAGATTTTCCCAGGCCCTAGCTCACATATGGAGGTGAAGGAAGAATTTGTGTAAGTTTATACTCTAATCCCACCATATGAAGGGCAAAGTGGACCTTAGGTCATTAGGATTGGAGTGAAGTTCTTTTACCACCTCCTGATTAATATCATATGTAACCATGTGGTAAGCATTTGATTGGGCCTTGCAGGTTCCAACACTGGGGTCAATCAGAGGTCAAAGGAACTATGATAAACCTGAGATAAAGGTGTATAAATAGAAGTTTTAGAATCCCAATAAAGCACTAAGATGATATATCAAAGGATGCAGGATCAGCAGTCCAGACTGGCTTCTGAGAGGAAGTGGCGTGGGGGTCAGTGTCAGACAACCTTTAGTGCCACCTGAGAATTGGCTTTGGCTACAAATTATCTTCATTATTACTATATAATAGTCTAGAGTCCCGCAGCATGGCACTATGGTACTTCTTCCTTGGTTTCCCTGGCACATCACAGCTCAGCCCCAGCCTCCTCTAATCAACAGGGGCTCCTTTGATTCACTGTCACCCCTCCAATGCACTCTTGTCCTGACTGTTGTCCTGGCATTTCTTGGCGAGTGTTCTCTCCACTCCAAGTTCCCAACCAAAAGAAGAGCTGGACTACAAGGGCTGAGAAGTCCCCAGTTCCTCCAGTCTCTATATGAAGGAACTATATTCCTAGTGGATCCTGGGCATCCCTGGGCTTTTAAATCCCAGACTTTTTTTGTAGCTCAGCTGGGGAAATCCCTGTGTGCTGCTACTCACTGCCCCATCATCAGAGGCCCCGTGTGGATGATGGCCATGGTCCCAGTGAAGATGGGAAATGAAAAAGACGCTCAAACTCTGGTCTGTAGGGGAGGCAGAGAGTGAGAAGGGAGAGCATGAGAGGTAGAAAAAGAAATGACATAGATAGATAGATAGATAGATAGATAGATAGATAGATAGATAGATAAAGAAAATAGAGGCTCAAGTCCATAAAATTCCTCCAATGAGATGCCTCTGTATCCCTGTTCAGTGTGATCAGATTTAAGATCAATAAAACCGAGTGCTGGGAAAGACATGGAGCCACTGGCACTCTCCTAGACCACTGGAGGAGACACATAATGATGTAGTCATTATAGACAACAGTCAGATAGTTCCTTTAAAAGTTAAACATATTTATCCTGTGGTTGAGTAATTCTACTCCCAGGTCTTTAGTTCAAGGAACTGAAAACACCAATCACAAAAACTCATACTTCCAAAGTTCATAAGAGCCTGTTTAAAAGTAGGTCATTCAGGAGTTGATCAACTAGGGATTGGGCAAAATGAGATGTTTGCACATGGGGAGAGACACTATTAACTAAATGCAGCACACTTGACTCTTTTGTCCCTTTTCAATTTTCCTTCTTTCTCTTTGTACATTTATTTTATTTAAATAAGATTTTTTTAATTAGTTTACGTTTCAACCACAGTTTCCCCTCCCTCCTCTCCTCCTGCCCACACCTGGGCCCCACTTCTGTTCTACTTCCCTTCCCTTCCACTCCCCCTCCATCTCCACTCTGAAAGGGACAGCTCTCCCCTGGGCTTGCACAAAGCATGGCACATCAAGTTGTGGCAGGACCAAGCTCCTCCCTTTGTGTCAAGTCTTGGCAAGATAATCCAGCATGGGAAATAGGTTCCCAAAAGTCAGTTAAACACCAGGAACAGGTCCTGATCTCACTGCAAGGAGCTTTACAAAGAGACCAAGGTACACAACTGTCACACACATATGCAGACAGCCTAGGTCAGTTTCCTGGAGGTTCCCTAAATGTTGATCTAGAAACCTTGAGATCCCTTGAGCTTAGCTCAGCTCAGCTGTCTCTGGGATTCCCCTTTCATGACCCCCAGGTTCCTAATTCCCTCCTCCTTTTCTTCAACAAGACTCCCTGAGCTCAACCCAGTACTTGGCAGTAACACACTCAAATCTAAAAGGCGTTTAACTTAGTAACAGAATGTTTCACATAGAAATACTTTACTGAGATAGGATAACCCAGGACTCTGATGTTTCTAAATTATATCCAGGTTCTGAACTGGACCATCAGAAAGGGACTGCAGAAACCAGGCAATGATGGACAGAGAGGAGCTACGGGAACCTTCCTCCAGTGAAATGAGACTTGTACTTCCGTGAAAGTAGCTGCACAGCTCGTTTCTTGTGCAAAGTTTACACATCTATGCTGTTAAGTGGGCAAATGTAATTTCTTAGAAATCATTTGACTTCAGAGACTTTAAAAAATGACACAGCTACTGAAATTCTAAAGGCCATTTGATGAGGTGTCCTGTGTCTGTCAACAGAAATGGAGACTTCACAGATGTGTGCAGCAGGAGCTCACAAACGCCAGTCCCCAGTGAGAGCATCAGGCAGCAGTCTTCTTGCACTCAATGGAAGGGATCTTCTCTGCCCAGCTACCAAGCCAAGGCTAAGAGAGTCTTGTCTCTCTTCTGCCTCCTGGTGTTTGCAATGTGGAACATAAAAATCATCCCATCCATAAATGCTATAGATTTAGTGCCTCCCCTCCACACTCTCTGTGCTTTCAAGCCCTATCTAGGCAGATGTTCTCTCTCTCCTCAACTCCCTTTCTGGAAAACATCTGGACTGTGAGAGCTGAATGGTCCACCTACCCTCCTCCATTTCTTCCAAGCTCAAAGACATGGAAGCTTCTTTATGTTCCTGGGACAGCCTGGTGAGTCCACTTAACCCTGGTTTGTTTTGTAGCACGACATGGGGGAAGTTTCCCATGTGCTCTGTCGCCCAGTGCAGCATCATTCAGACCCTTCATGGATGATGGTGGAGACCATCATAAACATGTAAAACAAGGAAGACTCTCAAATTCTGTGTGTATGCTGGAAGGGGTGGATCTGGCACCTTTCATTTATTGGCAAAAAGGGGGAGAGGGACTAAAGTCTACAGATTCCTCTTTATGGAGATATTACTGCATATGCACACATATACCAGTGTTGAAAAATTATGGCGCCACTGCTATGCTCACACATGCATGGCTGGAGGAGATGCAAAATGGTGTAGTCATATTGAAAGACAGGTTGACCTTTTCTACAAAAGATAAAGGCACCTATGCTGGGACTCAGCAAAACTACTACTGTTGATAAAGCCTACTGGAATTACCAGGTGTCCCTTCAAGCCTTTCCCTGTCTCTATCTGACCTTGTTCTTTGCTGCTGTGACATCTATTGTCAGGTCACCTCAAACCTTCACTCTGCAGTGAGAATATTGAGAGTTGGTCCACTAGGAAACTCAGCTCATGGATATCATTATAATCCCATCAGCCCAGTGTAACCAAAAAAAAAAAAACCAACAACAACAAAAAACAATCTTTGAATGAGAAAGCTAGCCCTCAATACACAGCACACCCAATAGTACCTTAACTTTGAAATGCATGGTCTCCAAAATTGTGAGCAAATTCCTTTTGGTTATAAATCACATAGGTTATGATATATACAAACTCATGTATGCATATCACATGTATCAGTCTATGCATACAGGCAATTGAGATGAAGTGTGTGTATCTGTTACCAGATGACCTGAAACTCTTGAGCTCATAAAACCCACCTGCCTTGGCCTTCCAAGTACCCAGGCCACCTGTGTGTCTGCCATAGACCTGAGCTTGCTGCTTACGATGATTTTTGTTATGGACACATAAACTTTCTGATACACCAGGGCTGTGTCAAGTCACATGTTTTATAAGTTTTCTATGTAGATGAGAATATTAGAGCTTGTTAACAGATGGACATGAGAATTTGACATCCCATCACTGCTTCTGAGTCAATTTCCTCAAACATCAGAAGTGGAGACAGAATATTGAATCCAGGATCTTATACATATGAGATAAGTGCTCTATTCCTAAACTATATATTGAGGATGTATATTTTAATCTTTGATAATCTCATAACATATACAATGTATTTAAATCATGCTTACTCCCTTACCTTAGGCAGCCTTGATTCTTTCCATGCAAAAAGGTGCAGGGAGGTGTCCAGTGAAGCCCCTTTTGCTGGGTTGGTCATGGCCACAAGCTCCCATCTCTCTGGTAACTCACTGTAACATGAGGGGGCCTGCTTGTTTGTGTTTTCTGTCCTGCCCGGTTCCCATAGCTTTTTAGCCCCAAAGAAAATCACACAGAGATCTCTGTAAGTTATAAAGATGGTTGGCCCATTAGGTCAGGCTTCTTACTGGCTAACTCTCACATCTTGATTAGCCCATTTTTCTGATGTATTTTTGCCATATGGCTTGGTACCTTTTTCAGCTGGTAGGTCACATCTTACTTCTTTGGAGTCTGGGCAGAAGTGGGAGGAATCAGCTTCC